CCCCCCCCCCCCCCCCCCGGGGAAACCAAGAAGTCCCGATGCGTTTCACAATGTCTCGTCTCGCCCCCTGGCTCGCATCCGGCCGGGTGGGCATAGTGCTCCCTGCGGGATTGTGTCAGACAGACAGCCAGACAGACAGGCCGGCAGGCGGCACTGGCGACCGATCGGCCGGCATTTGCCCTCAGGCGATCACCCCGGGCCTGATGCCCCCCCGGGGGAGGGGCCGGGCGCGCGACTGCCACATCCGGAACTTTGTGGCCCGGAAAGCGCAATCTCCCCTGGGGAGGCCCGGGTGTCCTCGGGTGCGCCCCCGGGATCCGGCCCTGGGGGCGCAGGAGCGCAGATCCAATCGCCCCCCCCCCCCCCTGTTGGCAACAGCTGTCCACCGGCGGGCGGATGGTTGTTACGCGGAGCACAACGGCTTCCCCACCCCCCCCCCCCCCCCCTCCCCCTTCCGCCTCTCGGTCTCCCGGGTGGGAGAATTTCCCGACCGCCCCTCGCGTCCGGTTGTCACACCGACCCGAGGACGAGCGAGGCAATTGCCCTCCATCATGCTTCGCCCTCGAACGACACAGGAGCCGTTGGGAGGCCGGATTGGCCGGGCACCGGCTGCGCATGTCAGATCTCAAGGGACCTGGCGCCGGGTGACCGTTCGCCTTCTCCCCCCCCCGCCCCCACCCCCCCCTGCCCCTTGGTATCCCTCATCCTCCCTGGGCCAGTGTCAATTGAAGATTGCCCGTTACACCGGTGCACATCCGCCCCAGATCCAAAGCCACAAACACCCTCCTGTCTCTCGCCCTCGCCTTCGCGGTTCCTGCCCATCACGCCCCCCTGCCCTGCCCCCTCGCCGCCCTCCCCCGCCATTTCCCCCTGGCGCTGTGCACTTTTGTGAGCCCGCTCACCGCCTCATCCAGGCCGTGTCAGTACGCGCCTCTCCAGCATATCTCTATCTGGGCGCCGCTCGGCCCTTCCCTGCTTTTGCCTCCCCCGCCCTCCCCCGCCCTCCCCCGCCCTCCCCCGCCCTCCCCCTCCTCCCCAATCAGTGAGCCCTCGCTCACTCGGCCGGCCTTTGCTCATTCTCCCGCTCCGCCGTCCCTGGCCCCCGCTCCAGGCGCGCACCATGTCCGCAAGCCAATTCTCCCGGCAGGCGTTCGACGCCTCGGCCGAGAAGACTGCCAAATACGTGGAAACCCTGGGCCCGGCTCGCTCGCGGCCACACCTTCCCCTCTTGCTGGAGGGCAAAATCCGCTCCCTGCGTATGTTCCGGCTCACTTGCCGCCTCGCCCTCTTCCACTGCCCCCGGCATTTCCCCTCGGCCCGGGGAATATGCATGCGACCTTGTCCCCCCCCCCCCCCCCCCCCCCCCCCCCCCCCCCCTTGGCCCGGTGTGCCTCGACTCACATGCTCCTTCGCCCGCCTGCCCGCCGCTGCCCACCCTCCCGGGCCTCCTCCTCACAGCCGGCTCCGGCGCCTTTGCCAGCTACCTACGCTGCCTGGTGGAAAACCCCGGCGACGAGTCGGGCTTCAAGTCGGCCCTCGATTGGACCATTGACGATGAGCTGCGGCGACTGAGCTCCGAACCGGCGGCCATCGATTTCGTGCCCGCCGACCATCCCCCGGTGGAGGATGTCTATGCCTACCTGGCCAGCGTGTCGCGGATGGACTTCACCGACTTCGCCGAGGACCAGCGCGAGCGCCAGCGCCAAGCCCATGAGAAGGGCGAAGTCCTGCAGGTGGACATGGATGGTGCGTGTGCCCGCATGCGCCGGCCCACGCCCACACGCTGCGCCGCCTTTTGTTGCTGACCCTCTCGGCCACCAGCCTGGGGCGGCGTCCCGCTGGGCAAGCTCAATGAGCTGCCCTACCCCTGTTCCAATGCCTCGCTCGGTCTCCACGCGTGTCGGGATGAGCGTCGGCTCCTGCGCAACCGCCTGGAAACGGCCATCGCCACGCGACAGAGCCTGGTCAACCGCATCCGCACCAATCGCCTGGCCGAGTACCGAATCGGCCGCCGAGAGGGTACGCCATCTTCCCCCTCCCCCCGGATCCCGGGCGTTTGCTGCCCAGCCGCATCGTGTCATGCCCCGCCTCATGGCCACTAACCGGGCACCCGGTGTTCCCCGTGCCGCCTTC